TTATTTTCACTGTTTTTGCTGAAGTACTGATTCAGTGAAAATAAAATTCAGTGAATATACCTTTTTTTCTATATTTTAAATTCAACTCATCAAAAATGAGTGACAAAAAAGTCCCTGCAAAACATGCAAAAAGTCTTTTCAGCAAAAATTAATTCCAGCTAAAATCAAGTGATTTACAGTAAACAATGATAACAAAAATTACAACATAATAACAAACTAGTACAAAAGAAATCAAATTTAAAAAATACATGCTGTCACAAAAGACCATATTTTAACCAGAAAGCAAATAATGAAAATTTCTAGCAGCAAAAAATAAGTGCCGCATAGTACTCTGTAAGAAGAGAAGTTTTCTCTTATCATTGGTGACGTAAGTTGGAGATTACCTCTCTAACGTTTACAATTTTTCAGCCAGACTGGTTTAAAAGTCACTGTTTTTCATGAAATTCCAGTCTACCATATATCACTGTTACAATTTTTTGTTTGTTTAGTCTCTTACAATAAATTCAGCATTTGGCATATAGTTAATCTGTTTAATTTCCATAATTTATCTTAATCAAAATTTTATAATATATTCACCCTTGAATAAAGTTTTTTGAAACAGTGGAACAAATTTGTATTTATTTTTTAAATATTTTTTATTTCATTTTATTTATTTAGTGTTTCTACTACCAAGTATCTTGTATGTAGCAATATTTTGACCAAAAGATGAAGTTTTTATTTATTATTACTGTGGTGCTTCTAGCCGTCCAATTCTGCCATTGCACGGAGCATCCTAGAGGTCATTTACAGCCGCTTGGTTCACACCAGCCACCAGAGGGGGACATTGAGAAGATAGACGTTATACCACCTCCTGATGTATTTTATAATAAATATATCAAAAGAAGCAAACCTGTTATATTTAAAGATGCAGCTAAAGCATTGCCTGGATTTTCTCTCTGGAATGATGATTATCTCAGGTACCTTACTGTTTAAGTAAAATACCTTTTTTTCTGCATTTTACATTCAACTCATAAAAAATCAGTGAAAATAAACTTTATACAAAAGACATATAAAGACCCACTCATAGGATTTTAATGATAACTTGGTACATAGTTGCTCTGAACTAATATCTCAAGAACTAACTCTGAACTGATATCTCAAATACTAATCATCACATTTCTATGAAACTGGATACATAGATGTCATTGGACACTGCACAGACCTGATAGTTTTTAGGTTAATATCAGTACATATTGATTACTTAATTTGCATAATTAATTAATTTTCAGCTTTTGATATTTCAAGTAGTAACCGTTACATTTCAATGAAACTTGTTATAGATACTCAAGGACTATGAAGAGACCTGATTGTTTCGGGGGTAATATTAGTGCATATTAATCACCTAATTTGCATAATTAATTATTTTTCAGCTTTTCCACTGATATCTCAAGTACTAATCATCAGAATTCAATGAAATTTGGTACATAGATCCTCTAGGATATGCAGAGACCTGACTAGTTTTGGAATAATTATTCATGCATATTACTCCCCTAATTTGCATCATTAACCAATTTTCAGCTTTCACACTGATATTTCATTTCAATGAAACTTGGTACATATATGCTCTAGGACAATAGACAGACCTGATTAGTTTTGGGTTAACATCTGTATATATTAATTACCTAATTTGCATAATTATTCAATTTTTAGCCTTCACACTGATATCTAAAGTATTGATTATTCCATTTCAATGCAACTTGGTACATAGATGAACTAGGACAATGTACAAAACTGATTAGTTTTGGGTTGAAGTTCTTTAATTAGCATAATAATTCATAATTTTAATCACATTTCAATGAAACTTGGTACATAGATGGTCTGTTACATTGCGCAGACCTTGTTAGTTTTACACTCAAATTTGTTCATATTAATTACCTGATTTGCATAATTAGTTTTCAGCTTTTCCATCAAGATCTCAAGTACATGTAATTTTTAATTAATTTTTAATGTGTCTCCAAAGCTTTTCTAAGCTTTTTTTGATTTTGATATTCATAGGACAGAGTATGGTGACAACATTGTAAGGGTTGATTTTGGCAAGAAAGAAAACCGAGCACACTCAGCAGACCCTATGCCATTAGCTGAATTTTTGGACATTTACAAATCATCTGATCGATATTTGGTGGATACATTACCAGAACCAATGTGGAAAGAGTTTATGTTATTGCCTTGCATTACATGTGGGGGATTCACTAAAAGATTACAGGTAAGGAAG